AATTGTATTCCAAAGCTTTCTCTTCCATTTTCATGGAGATAACAAGATGAACAAGTTTCCACAACACAACACACAAACGCACAAGATTGAAACAACACGACCCCTAACGAACAACAAATTGAGATTCTTAGCAACTTGAAGAGTCAAAGTAAGAATCTGCAACCTCCCTGCTTCCTCCATCTTCTTGAAGAAATACATTGGCTTCAACGATCGTCTCACCATCAACGCCATTGCGAAAGGGAATCCGAAAGCTATACAGCTCTGAATCGTCATTTCTCGCATCGGATCTGATCTCGTCGCGTACAGAATCGTACCTCCTACGATCAATTGAGTTAAACCTAGCAGACCCATTGCTCCACTTAGACTGTACATGTTCTTCATCATCTTCTCCAATACTTCTCTCGTCTCATTTCCTAACGCCGACAAGTCGCGTTCCACAGTTGGTCCTTCGATCTCTTGGTGCTTCATCTTCGGTTCCTCTGGCTTCGACTCTTCCGGCTTCGGATCGGCTTCTCCGGTGGTCGGTGTCGAGTAATACCTCGGCGACCATGTTTCAGATCGGAGCTTTTCGGAATTGGGGAAGAAAGCAGAGAAGGATCTTAAGAGACTTAGCTCAAGAGTTTGTGATCCATGGATCAGATGGTTTCTTATCGGAGAAGAGGAATGGAGATGACGGTGAGAGGCGTGGAGCAATGAAGAAGAAGAAGACAAGGGTTTAAGGAATTTAGAAGCTAATCGACGAGAAATCATCATCGTCGTCGTCGTCGCTGAATTCGATGAAACGAAGAAGTTGTACGTAATTTAGGGCTTCTTATTGAATGTGTTTAGTAATTGGTTTGACTTATGGAAAGACAAATTTTCAATTTTTATGCTTTATTAGCTCACTCTTTTCAATTTGACCCAATCCATCAATTTAATAGCTCTTTATTCCATAAAATACTTGGACAAATTTGATTTTGGTACTTTTACTACTTTTACTACTTTTAACAAATCTACTTGGACAAATTTTAGCTTAGGTGTAATAAATTCAACAATGCACAACATTTTTATCATCACTAATGGCATAGACCTCGGTGTGAAACAAGTGGCTTACCTAACAGTGAATAACGATTACACTTAATTGAGATACATAATCGGACCCGACAAGTACTCTTAATCCTAAAAGAGACACAACAACACAAGTTCCCTCAAAGTTTGGAGAAACACACTCTCTTCCTTACGCTTAATAAAGAATCACAAGCAAAACTCTATAAAGCTCACAACACAAAAGCCACC